TTTACCTAAAACTGATCAAATCTTGCGCATTAGTTCAGAGCATCCATGTGCCAAGTTTCATCATTTCATCACATGGTCAAGTACAAGCAATCTAAAAGTAGTAAGGTTGTTGATTAACAGCTTATCAGGTAATTTAGTGGTCACAGCAAATCATGTTTGGTCACCTCAATTTCGTATCCATGGGAAAGCCAGCAGTCTCAATGAGTTTCAGAAAGATGAGCTAAAGAGTTGTGCCTGGTTCTAGAATGTTGCATACAGTCATATAGAGAAGGTATCAAGATTAATGAACTGTCATTCTGTTTTAAGACAATTGTTGACTATTTCTGGTAAAAACTGCAAATATTTTCTGTCAACCTTACAGTGTAAATTAGTCATGTTGGTTCATAACTAGCAGCCTGTCAGCTGAGATAGCTCCGCTGTAAGCAAGGCACTTGTCAAATAAAGAACTGAAGATATCATTAGAAAATGAACAATAGGTATTAAAGCAATCAGACTTTAACAATTTAACCAAAGAGAACAAAAATAATCTTTAAAATTAGATAATTGAAGATATCATCAAATGAACAAATCAGAGAGATATACCTGTAATACCTATATATGTAATATCAAAGCAATTGGACTTGCGTTTTTTAAAAAAAGTCGAAAATATCAATTTTTACCAAAAATGACAAAAACATTCACCAAAAATAGAGAATTTGAGATTTTGACACGAAATGAACAAACCTGAAAAAGAACCATCCAAGGTACTTGAATATAAAATTTGACAACATTCTGAATTGTGGTTTCGAAGAAGTTGAAATTGTAAAGTTGTCAACTTTGTCGACATCGGAGCTAATAAATATGAATTCATTACACTGATTCATACTGCTAGTCTTTGTTTACAGTGGGTACAAATTTCCCTTGTTATAGTTTTGTTACCTAATCACAATTCAAATTTCAGTGCATTGTAGGATAGTTTTGACTGAATCAAACCATAAACCATGTTAATGTTGTAGTTCAATGTTGAAATTCCATGCTTGTACATCTGCCAAGTTTTCTGTAATTCATTTTGTCCTTGCTGAAAGAATAAACTTGTATTTGTACAAATAAGTTCTGAGTTTATTACCAAAGTATGTTTAATAGCATTAGATTAAATTTGGCATGACGAGGACTTATGTTATTGACATTTTTTCAAACTTGTGTGCATACATTTTTCTGCATGACCAGATTCAATGGCAGACATTTTAAGGCCAAAAGTGCACAGAAAAAAATTACCTATTTTCACCATTCCACACGTTAGATCTCTGAACTTATTACATACCCATGACATTGAATACAATCTGATCTTGATACATTTGTTTTTCGGATCAGGCACAAAATGGCCGATTGGCGGCCATTTTGCATTAAGAATGCAGTTCTGACCAAACTTCACACAAGTAAATATAGTCTTGCATTTATAAACTGGGACTGTACCGTGTTGAGTCTTATTCCTTGCTTGTAATAAAAGCAGTTAAATAACAACAGAATTGAAACAATTATCCAGGTTCTATTTAAAGTGCAGAAGTCATCACACCAAGCAAAATATGGGTCTTGTATAAACAAAGGTAGTAGTTGCGCAGATGAACGAGTACAAACTGAGAGGCTACCAAGCTTTAATTAGGTATTTTTTAGGCGATTGGAAGGTATCGAAGGAGTCACCGGCAGTAATTAGTGCAAGTCGCGCCCAGGTCAAACCTCATACTTCAATTAGAAGAGTGCATTGGATTGTGGGAGAATATGTTTATCAACACAAATGTCGCACATGCACAGCGCAACCACCAGTCACCCTTTGAAGTAGGGACGGAGCAAATGCATTTACATAATTATGTTAATGGCAAAAAAGTACTAAAACACAACTAATCTATCGTGGAATAAATTGATGAACAAACAAAATTTGACAGATGATATAATATTCGTTATCACATCTGAAGGTGTTGCCAAGTGCAAGATGTCTTGTATTGCTTTATTAGAGATACTGTAGAAATATCAATAACAACTTTACCCAAAGATTTTTTTCTGGTTTGTATTTGCCGTATCTAGAATACGAGTAGTTCTTTCGTACAACACATTTCTGATACTATACAGTTTTAAGGGGGGGGGGAGTCACCTGCGCCAGAAGCTCACAAGCGTCTACCCATGAACCTTTGCATTTTTAGTGCGCGTTATCGTCACTTGGGACTATTCCCATGCGTGCGCAGATGACGACTCTCTCGCTTTAACATTAATAAGATGGCGTAAACAAAGTGATGTACCAAAATTGCCTTGAATTTGAGACTAATTTCAATTTAAAAAAAAAAGAGTATGCGAGCCGACAGATGCAATACAAATGTATTCACTTTTATTCAAATTCCTGGCACCCATCCCATGGGTTATATTAGAGGATGTTGTAGGGAGTCTTTACAACCTGGAATAACTAGTCTATGGCGCCCTCGCTAGATTCTAATTTTTTTAGCACATGGCCACCATTTTCAATTGGCTTGTAGAACAAACTTTTCAAGGCAAGACAAACATGTGAAGTTTAAATGTGGTTGGCAAGTCTAATAATGTGGCTGCACACAGATTAAATTACAATTCTCATTTGTGGATCATGTCAGAACAAACTGAAACATACTCTATCATTCTGTTCTAATAGCTGAAACATTCCTGTGAGTTTTCATTTGTCGAATGAACTGTTTGTCAAATACAGAATACATATATTTTAGAATAATTTTCTTTTTAAAATGTGGATGAAATGTTTTGCTTTTAATTGTTTTTGATTTGATAACTTTGAACTAAACAGATTTTCTATTAGCTTCAGATCTTGATCAAAGTTAGGCACCCAGTTCATAGGAGTGCTTATATTGATTTTCTGACATGTTTTCTGTAAAGATTTTATTGGTAGGTTTGCAAATGTGTATCAGACTGTGCAATCTCTCCATGAGTTGGTTTTGAAACCCAGTATGGGATTCTGAGATACATTACCAAGGATATTATTACAAGATGAATCATTTGCTTCATTGAACACATACAACAATGCACATTTCCACTGAGATCAGTGACCTTTGATGTGTCACCAGTGATCAGTCAAGTAGAAACAGTTAAAATATTTTATCAGATTTTCTCAATTTTTGCATATTTTCATACAGGACATCTGTTGTTCAAACTCTGGGAAGACTTTATACTGATGAATAAGGTGACCAAGTTTGATAAAGTTTGGAATAGAATTAGTAAAGTTATTATGCACACAATAACAATTATTGACGACGACACCGGACAAAAATTTTCCCTTAATATACCTTTCCCTTCCATCTTTGATGGTACGGGCATGGTAAAAACTAAAGGCCACCAGTGATTTGAGTCTCCACACAAAAAAAGTAGGTGCATATTTAATGCAAGTTTAAGCGATGTCAAACTGATGATCTCTGGAGTAAAAAGATCCAGTCTGAAGTACAAAACTAAAGGACATGCGCCAAATTTGAACTAAATCAGCCCAGGCAGACAAAAATAACTGCGACACAAGTCTCATTTTTGAACTTGGCACTTGTGCCATTTAACCCTTCAACTTTCTCCTGCACAGATCTTGGTGCAACATTTCTTTTTGGGTAATTTTAGACTATGAACAAAATTTCCTATTCTCTGGGCAGACATCACAACATGGCAACCATCACTGAAAACAAAGGCCGAAAACGGTACTTTGAAATTTTGACTCCCTGAACAATGTAACAAGATTACCCCTCTGAGTTCAGGATTACTTCAAAGTAGCGTTCCTGTTTTCACCAGCTCTTCTCTAGCAGCACGTGCAGAGCCCGTAGAAACGCCTTAGCAACGTCTTGTTACATAGCTCCGCCACCAAGGGCTGGGGGGGGGGGGGGGTTATTTTGTGAATGGTGCCCTAGTCGTGACAAAATTTAAATTAGTGGTCAAAGGGTTAACCAGCTTCTATGAATAAATAAATACAAGAAAACTACATTCTCATACACAAATAACACAACAGAACTCTAAGGGAATAAAAATTTATTGTATGCAGATCCAGCACATTACACCCACAATAGCAAGTATTTTTTTTCGTACAGCATTTATTAAAACTAATGGGGGGAAGGCAGTGATAAAGATGGTGCTGAGAACCTAACTAGATTAGGGGACATTAAGCAGGAAAAACAAGTGAAAAATGGATCGTCAAAAGCGAGTGCAACTACCTAAACCAGAGTATATAGTAGAGTACAATGCAGTAATATTGCTACAAAATAACGATGTGTTTAAACTAATCAAGCAGTCAAATACGCCAAGACTACCAAATATATCAACATCATAAAACTTCTGAGCTGGGGACATTTCAAAAGCTACATTTATTGAATTACCCAAAACCAACTGACATGCCAAGTTACTTGGAGACAGGTCTAACTACAAGATGGTAAAATTGTGACAGAATACATTCAAATAACAATACCCTGCCTCAAAATATATATCTAGCCTCCACAAAAACAATGGCTTTCAAAGATTTAAGTACAACAGAACATATATACTCAAAAAAGGTGCCAAAGATCATTGTCAAAGCAACAACAAACAACTCGCCGCGCCAAAAAAAAAAGAAATTAACTACTATTTAATGACCAGTTATAATTACAATAAGTTGACAAAACCTCTAACATTACTTCTTGGTATTATTTAAAGAAAGGAAATATTGAGTACATGAATGAGTTGACGCAAGATATACACACACCTAGATCAAATATACATGGAACCGCGAGAATTGCTTGTCAATAAGGTATAAAGGAGGGGAAAATGTCACTTTTCAAAATAAAGCCAACTTGGCCTTCAAAAACATTAAAAGGGTAAGGGGTGTCAAATGGGAGAGCTGCATAATGCATAATTATATAACACTCTTTTCCCCAAATGCACTGTACTACGGTGTAGTTACCAAGTCAGCCTCTCACAATTTAACAATACTACGGTACATCTGTGCTAAGCCCCAAAAATTTCTGAAAAATGTCTCTGGGAATGAATTCTAAATATTATCAAATAGCAATCAATAACGAGTTTACTATATATACTATCACACAATTATTTGCAGTGTTTATCAAATACTAGATTCAAAATGACTAAAAGTGATCCTGGTAGCAATTTTTCTAAATACGGAGGTTTTCCTCGATTTCAGTCTGCATCTTCTTTAATTTGAAGCTCAACTAGCTCTTCACCTCTGAGTTCACTACTCTGAAATCAACAATACAAACAAGGTCAACACATGTATCTATCACAGCAGTATTTTACTAATTCAGCAAGCTGAAATATGTTGCTTATGCTGAATAGAGTTGAAAAGTCAGATTATTCTAGAGAATTGATTGTCAACATTATTCCTTTACATGTTACCATGACAACTACATGAATCAAGTTTGACATGCCAACAAGCAGATCTTTACATCTTTCACATTGATTTAACATACGTTGAATGGAAGTCATGCTTTGCAAGAAAGAGACGGAGGGAGAAAATAGCCCTGCAGCTCACCTGACCAGATGTAGTGTTAAAACGGCAGTTACACGTCAAATATTGACATAATAACCACCATCTGGTAAAAATAGGAACATCTAATTATCTAATAATTCCATACAATGGAATCAGAACTGCTAGAGATTATAAAACATTACATCTCTCTAGTCTACTAGAAAGCAGTGTAGATTCTTGTATAAACACTCAATGGGATTTGTTAGAATAGTGTTCAATGGGATGACTAACCGAACTTCAACTTTGAATTTCCAAACACCAAGGATGTCTGGCCAGGTGAACTGATGAGATGCGGCAAACGTACGACATAAACGCATGGGATGACAACTTATACCATATAACAAAGCATTTTTGAAAAAAAGACTATGAATGGGTGCATTGGATGACAAGAGCAGAAAGAGAAACTTAGACAAGCGACTCACTACAATACATGACTAATTCCACAGAAGCAGTGGAGGATCATGGCTAACTAAAGTGGGCGGGGCACTCAGTCACAGCAAGTACAGCAGAAAGATAACATTTATGAGAGGCTACAAGTAGACCAGTGACTTACTTCATCCAACATAAATATGCAAGCATGAGAAGGGAAAAGATATAAAAAATGATAATGAGGAGACAGTAGCCCAATACTTTGAGCCTGTCAGATGTGGTCAGACATGAGCACCAGGAACATTTGTTTAGAATCTAAAACAAAGCAGGTTCAGAATGAAAAAAAAAAAGTAAACTGAAATATAATTTAGCTTTTAACCCAAGCTTTTAAAAAGATTTTATCACGATAAACTTTGATATTATTTAGAAAGGTCTAAAGAAGGTATAGTTTTAAGCCGGAGTGAAATGATATGGTTTGATGAGATGGATGGAGTGATTAGTGGAAGAACTTGGCTGGAAATTCATCAAGTTTGATTACACTGTTCTTGCTGCCTTGTTACGTGCACATGCAAGTACTCACTGGGTTTTGCACGTTTTTCTCAGTTGACAGTGTGAGAGCAAATTTTTTTTAGTGTCAGAAATTGAATGCTATCATCTAGAGCTACATTTTATTTTATACAAAAAAAACATATATATGTAAAAGTGTTTGCAGCCGAGTTGATATCCAACTACAGATCTAGCGTAGGAGCAATATTCTAAGGAATCCTAACCTCTTCAGTTGTTGGGTTCTGTGCGCTTTCAGCTTCACTTGATAAGCCGCCTGCTATACATAGCATACATGGATGTTCAGATTGGTGGAAATAAAACATAAACCGCAACCAGAGAGAGAAAAAAGAAAAGAACTCGTCATCGTGCACACCACTAAAAATGGCTGGTAAATTTCATCCAGTTAGCGAATTCTTGATTTCTTGCAGTTTAGTGAAGTATTGCAAGCAGTAAATCACTTAGAAAGGTTATGTAAGTAGGACAGACAGACAAAGAAAGGAAAGCCAACATGCAGATGAAAAAAGCCACGTTTTGGGGGGAGATTGAAAAAGTGACACTAATGATGAGATAACTGTCAGCTAGACAAACTTTGTCATGGTAACATGCTAAGGAAAATATTACAGTAGACGGACCAGATTACTGACGGCGCCAATTTACCAGAAATCGATACATAGAACAGAACATGTTGACCGATTGCCATGGTATCATGCAAGGTATATTTTCATATGAAGTAACAGTGATATTAATGTTTGCAACTTAGTTGAATGTTATTATCCATTGCCAAGGCAACCATGCAGCATGCCCACAAATCTTACACACACACACTTGTACAAATGATGATTCTTTAACCCTTTCAATACCACAAATCTTTGCCACAATTTTAGTGCCAACAATTTTACGCACTTTCATTTTTTGGTTAATTTTGGATGAATTGACAATTTCCATGTCCATAGATCACAAGTTTTTAAAATGTATAAAAAAAATTACACTTCTATTCTGGACATTGACTTGGTGTTCAAGGGTTAAATATGATTGTTAAATTGAGTGACATTTAAGCTTTTTTTACAAGCAATCTAAGAACTAAACCTTGACAAATGTGCAACTTTTGCTTACTGCTGATATTCAGTTATTCACAGCATCAGCTTAAGCCATGTCACAACATTTTAACCAATAGGCAGCGAGTTAAAACTGTCACCTGGTCAAATTCTATCACAGCATGCAAAATGCAGCGTTCAATGATGACATTCAACAAAACAATGTAATCAGATGAAATACAATGATGTAATTTGGCAATACGAGAAAACTGACCAGGATGAAATCAAATAATCACTCTTCTTCGCCTTCCATCTTACCTTCTCCTGCTTTGGTTTCACCTTCATCTTCACTGTTGAAAAATAAATTGAAATTACAGTTAGATCAATAAAACTTAGATTGGTAAATCAACAATGTACAGAAATCAAGTTTGAGTAGTGTCAACGCTTGTGTATCCCGAGACCCTATGCTTGATCAGGGATTTTATTAAATTATTTCTCCAGTTTGAAGTTTAGTATTGAATGTTGGTTTAGCCATGTCCAGGAAATAGTTTGGTATATATTTGAACAATTTATGAAGCTGGTGTTCTTCAGCAACCTAGTAGATGGCTATTAAGACAATGCTTGTTCAAGCTGCAAGCACACAAACATACTTACTTCTGATAATCTTTTACTTCATCTACTGTGATGTCTTGTTGTGTTTCTTCTTCTACTGTATCATTAGCATCAGAGATACCAGCCTTAGCCAATATCACATCAACTTCCTCGACTAATTCTATAATGCAAACACAGATTTGTCTTCCCTTAAAAAAACACCAATAAAATAAAGCAAAATACTGCACCTCGAGCAGAAGTTGTAAAAGAGCCATACAATCTTATCTATCAGTAAGCCACCCAAATGCAAGCTGCTGTTTTAGCATGTATCAAAGTGTGTGCATGTACACATTCCAAGGCATAGACCCCATGGTCAAACCAAACTACAGAGTAAAGACACCACTACATGTGACAATGGAAGACTTGGGCATGAATTACTAGGAGACGTACGAATTCATGCAGTCTTGATGGACAAAAACAATGGACTTATTAATGACATAGAAGAATCTCATTTGAAGCGAGGATGAGTGACCCAGCTGTTACCTGCTACACCATGTTAAACCGGATTCACACAAGTGCATTGCACATTACAATACTGGGCAACGCAAATCATGCATCAAGGGGTTTCTTACTTCCAACGTTCTCATCTGGGAGAACCGACTGGACAATATCCCACGTCATGCCGTGTTGGTAGGTACCACTATTTCGCTGTGATTGCTTTTCAAATAAAGTATCAAACTGGGAGTCAACAACCTGTGTTCTCTGAATGCGTCCACTACTTGTAGTCGTTTCTACCGTGACATACCGATAGGTATTCAGTCTCGGTGCAATTGACGTGGTGGAATAGGGAGTGGATTCAAATAGTATGCGCTCTAGCAGCAAAGGTGAGTAAAGTAAATATAAAATGAAAGGAAATTTCAAATTAGTACACAATAAAATAAATAATTGGCAAAGAGCAAATAAAGATTAGAAAGAAACAAGATGTGCAATTCATAGTTTCTTAGTGATGTTTTTTTTACTGTGATACAGAGAATACAGTGCTCTAAACAGACAGTATGAAAGGGAATAGACAGTGCTAGACCAAACCACATTATCAACTATTGTTGACTTATACAACCATACCACCTTGTTGCTATGACAACATGGGGGCTTTTGCCTTGGAAGTGCCAGCATTTGTGAATTGTCAGTGTTGTAACATGCCATGCAAATATTACCCATAACACCACCTAAAAAAAAATCACCCAGTGCTATTCAATTTATTATTCACAAGTCCAGTGCACACAATACTAAACACAAGATACCATGGCAATCAGCATTCTCAGACATTCACATTCTTCAAGTACCAACAGATCTAACCGGGCTATGACAATTTGGTTAGCCACAACTGATAATTCAGATCAGATCTGTTTTATATCACAAGAGTTGAGCTAAAGTTTTACCATCTGGTTCTTGGGCAGTGGCTTCTGGATCATCAGTTTTTTGTTCAGTCGCTGCAGGTGTTTCTTCCTCTTCACCACCATCTTTTGTTTCTTCTTCCTCTTTATCTTTCTCCCCCTCTGCAGTTTCAGCATCAGTCTTTTCTTCTCCCTCATCTTTTTCTTTCTCCTCTGTTTGCTCTGGCTCTGGTTCAGGCTCAGGTGGTGTTGGCCTCATTCCTTCTTTCAATTCTAGCATACACATCGGTTCTTTGATGTACCGAGCAGACAATGAGAACCTGAAATAGACATTAGTTGTTAAACTATATAGTGTCAAACTAAATATAGTGGCTCTGATAAACTGGATATGTAAAAGATACCTTGCAGATACTGAATCAAGACTAGTCTATTTTCTTATTCAAAATAATGTCTATAAGAGGCTTACCTCTCAAATTCTGATGGCGATAGCAGGTAGAATCCTTCCCCACGACACGTGAAAATGCATGAACTGATTCCGGTGATATCTTCTTTACGAATTGCTGATTTTTTTAATTGTGATTTCAGATGTGGAATGCTAAAGATATGCAAATCTCCCAGATTGGACAAACAAGTAACGCAGTTCTCTGAATAATTGTCATCTGAGATGGAGAGAACAAAAATTGTTAGTAACATTTTACAGAAGTGGCTAGGTTTCTTCAGCATCTCAGATAAATTTTCATTCAGTGTGATTTTAACTAATACAGCGAGAGGTAGAAAAATAACCAGTATTTTATTGATGCTATAAATGTTATCATTTCACAATTTAATAACATGATTTTCAAACTAAAGAAATTTGTATTTTGAAATGGGCCATTTCTCATTCAATGCAAGATCAGGCATTATATATGAAAGGTCATAGTGTTGAGAAAAATCACACGTGATTCAACAAACTAGTATTTTGGCATATTTCCATGTTTAAAATGCTATAGACATTTGACAAGTCAAATTTGATGAAAACTGCATTCGAGCTCGTAGTCAATTCACGCATCTTATGCAATTCATAAGATTTCTGAACAAGAAAACACCTCCAGGTAAAGAAATTAAAGTGATTAACAAACTACTTACCACTTCTACTCCTGAAATTGATGAATGAGACTTTACGGACACGGGATCCATCATGAGCAGTCAACTTATGCTTGTGTTTAGGTTTCAGATTAGGGAGAGAGAACACCTACAAAATGACAAAACACAAGTCACATACAAATTTACTTTCATAAAACTAGTTTCAGCTTCAAATATAATTACAGTCAAAAGAATCTTGATCTCTATAGAAATTGAAGTCATACCTTGAACTGTTCTTCAGAACAGATGACAATAGAATGTCCACCAGACATATTTGGTGCTTTACATCTTTCATTAGTAACATCAATAGGATCTGGCAATGGATATCCATCGTGGTCTATCACAGACATGGCTACCACTGGTGCATGATGCTTCAAACGTATCTCCTTGCCTGTCATCAGAAATTAAACAGTGAAATTCTTTCATAAAATGGTACACCATACAAAAACTAGATGAGAATATTTTCAGTAGATCTAAACTCACCAAGTTCAGCTTTGACATCTACTTCATCACGTTTTTCATCATCTGGAACAGATATTGTGTAAACGTAGATTGTTCCAGCATTTGTACCAGCCCAGAATGTAGTGGTCATTGTGTTAGCATCACGGATGAATGTGCTTGCAAAATACAGTGATCTCACCATACTGGTCATAGCATCATCTTTACTACGAGCTTCAACTTTTCTTTCAACAGGCATTTTCTCTGTTTCTTCAACTTTCACTTCTTTCTCTTCTTCCTCTTTGGGCTCCTCTGCTTTTTCTTCGGTGGCTTCAGCTGCTGGGGTGTCCTCTTTCTCTGGTGTAGGGGCATCAAGATCTGTTGTTGGAACAGCCTCAACACGTGGTTTGTCTTCCTTCTCTTTACGCGAACGGCGCCTACGAAGACGGCGGAATGATTCACGCAGAGACTTCTTGAATGACTTGCGACGGGACATGGGAGTTTCTCCACTTGCTGACAAGTCACTGGGATTCAGGGTACACTTGGTGATCACCATCTTCTTCTGATTTGCGTCAAACAGTGCGTAACCATGACTGGTACCTACAGCTAAAAGACCTTTGTCAACAGAAGTGGCCAAAGCTGTAATCGCAGCTGGAGGGGTACACTGAACTACAAAATTAGCTTGGAAGCCTGGTGCCATCTTCACATCATCAGTCTTCACATTAAGTTGGTCATGTCCTTTCCATACAAACTCATCACGATCACTAACTATATTCACAGCATGTGTCTACAGGCAAGAACAAAATTAGATTCAACATTACACGTCTCTAGATCAATGACACAAATGCATGCAATCAATGAGCAAGTACAATTCCAGCGAACAAGTATTGTTCTGAATCACCATAAGACATTCAACTTACCTCAATACTCTGTTCAATTTCTTCTTCACCCAAGTTCAAACATATAACCTGTCCAGCTGTTCCAGCAACAACCAACTTTCCAGTCACTGAACAGAGGATGATTTTCTGGATTCCTAAACGAGGATCATCACTGTATGGATCAAAACTACCAACCTAAAAAAATAAAAGTTATCGTTATACGATTGACAAAAATTGGTGAACTCATTTTCACCACAATTTACTGCACAACACTGTTTCAAGCTTTTTTTTCTGCCAGCAATCAGAATACTCACCTTGCGGAATCTAGGCCAGTCGTCATCTCCCTCGCCACCAGCATTACCTTCAGCATGTTCCGATTCAGACATGAATACATTGGAGGTGTTTAATTTGTAGATCAATTTCAAGGCAACAGTGGAAGCATCCCAGAATCTAACAGTACCATCTTCGTGTCCTGTCAACAGCAGATCTTTAGACATTGGTTCTTCAGACAAATTCTTACCACCATTGATTGGCCATTCCTATAATAAGAAATTAGTCATTCACCTATGAATGCGAAAACTTTCCCTTATACATATCTAAATCAGGGTCATTGTGCTTTCTAACAAATGATTTTGTAACAATCTGAAATTTGAATCTCCAAAATCAAGTTTAGTCTGCAATTTGATTGCTCAACAGACTAAGACTACTCCCCCCTTGAATACTGTTCCATACTCGTGCATTATTGCTATCCACAGTTCTGTGGAAGGTATTTGTAACAGTGGGCACATCGATCTGAACAGGAACTTTGGCATCCAAGATTTATTGAAATGTAACTAATATTTACCCTCTGTGAGAATGTTTGCGCCATTTGAGTTTCTCCTGCTTTCTGTATTTTCTCCCAGACATCATTGGGTACATTACTGCAATGTGTGGTGGTAGTTATAGCAGATGCATGCAAAGAAGCCAGGTAGGGCTTATTGAAAGTAGGCCATCTATAGGAAAACAAAGAATCATTAGTTTCATGAGCAATATTCTGTTATGATGTAAAGTAAAGGAGAAATTTTCATGTTTCACATTAGAGGTTAGCTAGTACCTACCCTTCACTCTGTAGGTCAATGACCACTAGTTCCTCTTCCACCAAAACAACCAAAGAATGTGGATCATCATACTCGCACTCTTCGTCTGTGTCGGAAACGGTGAAGAAATCCAGCACACGAGATGTGAAATCAAAGGCTACCTGTGTCTTTCCTTGCATTACGGTGATACAGTTGCGATCACCATAGCTAGCACGGGGCATACCTCCAGATAACATTATGAATGGCTCTCTGTAAGAGTGAACATTTTAAAATTGTAAGTACAAAACTGATTAACAGCAAGTGGTACCAGAAGTATATACCCTGCAAGGTTCTAATGCAGGTGTCCAATAGATGAGTCATCTTTGAAACCTTCAACTCATAAATAAACATTTGTCATTGCGTACATTTGGTGAAAAAAAAAATTGATAAATAAATGTGTAAAGTATTGCATCCAAATCATGTTGCTGGAAAGTCTTGAACACCGGAAATCAAAATCACTACAAGTTCCCACTTTCCATACCAAACTCTTGAAATAGTCATGTTTATACTTTGCACTTCACAGAAGATTGGGACAAAAATAGCAAACATTTTTGAGTAAAAACTGAAAATTCACTCTTATTTGGTCTATTTGGTCTGTTTGCTCCAAAACTAGGGTTCATTTCCAGAAATATTGGATAATACAAGAAAAAAAGAGCAAAAATACTTACCCCTTGGTAGATTGCCATAGAACTTTGGTAATTGCCTTGCATGGAAAGGGTCCTGTTGATTGAGCATAAAAAAAGATTTGAACATTTGGCAATGCAACTAAAACCACATTACTTGTTTTTAACTAATTTTGAGAGCACCCTCTTTAGTCAAGAAAGTGCAGTACAGTCCATTAATTTATTGCTGAAAAACAAAGAAATTGCCTCCTGAAACTAGAACAAGGTGGTGTGACAAGTACAATAACACGAGTCGTATAAATTCCATCCTTGACACAATTTCAATGATCCATAAAACCATTTTATTTACCCCATTATCATAGCAAGCAATCTACTTTTAATCTAACAAGTAATTACCTCAAGTTGAAATAGGCCATTAGTGCTTGCTCATTTCTGAGCGACATTAGTTGTTGCAATGTAGCGAGTTCTAACATGCTAGAAACCGAAAAACATCTAGAAACTACCCATAGTTTTATAACCGAATAATGCAATTAATATTAAAAGTACACAATGTATGTATTAACAGTTGTTACTCAGTTGAGCAAAAAGACGGGGTCATTTACCTATTTGTTCCATCTGAAGCACACCTTAAATGAAACAAGTCATTTTTCTTTTGGGTCATTAAAAGACTCTACCATAGATACACTGTTGCATTTTACATATGCACTACTAATAGAGCAAATACAGTTCACACCAACACTGCATGTCCCCCCCCCCCATTCATATTAGAACATTTCAAATGCAGTTTTGTCTAATAAACAAAGCAAGGCATTATGGGAGATTTATTATCCTATCTTTTCTACTAATTCTTGATTACAGTAATGTGGTTTACTCTGGAATGAATTAATGTGTGCTAATAGGCCTCTAGAAATGAGCTTGCCATACTTTGAAATGAGGCTACACGACTTCATGAAAACAATATGCACATGATTATTATTAACATTAGTTTCAATGGCTACCGTATTTCTATTATATTATTAGGTATACAGACTTCATATTCTGGCAATTTGCCAGGCTAGGTGACTAAAAACCTTCAAGATGAGCAATTTATGAAGTTGAAGGTACGTGTCATAATCTTTGAAATACCTGGTCAATTTTTCAATGACTTTTACTGAAGGCTAGCAGAGCCACGCCCATTCTACCTGAATTAAATGACCAATGATTCAGTATTACCGTATTTGTCTTCAGTTAAGCGCCACCTTCAATTAGGCGCCAGTGCCACAAAAACTTTGTATTTTACACCTCAATTAAGCGCCAGACAAAGTTGAAATTTTGGCACGTAATGATCGTGAATTGGGCGCCGGCGGATCGACTACCGGTTACCGGTTCGTAGCGATGGACGCGATCGCGGAAGTCCCTCGCTGTTACTGTTCGAATGGCTTTTATGTAAAAAAAAAATGGTTTTGTTTCTAACAATTTTTAAGAAATCGGTCTATAATCTCTTGAAACATGTCTTTTTAGTCTACTCTGTAGAAAATATCAGCGTGGTTTTTAATTTCGCAGTAAGTCCATAAAAACGAAATTAAAACAACGCGAAAATGTTCTGTTTCAAATGCGCTGTTGTCACAGTAAACAGTGTTAAATTATTCTTTAAATGCTCAGTTTACTTTCCAAAAACTAACTAATTTCTTGATTTGAAAAAAAAATCATGCCGTCTTTCCCACCAAAATCAAAGCCAAAATATCGCACACATCGGCAAATCACTTCCGCATTGCGTTCATACATTATTTAAATGAGCTATGGTAATTTGATCACGTTGGCATCATCCAGCATTTTGATTGGTTAATTAACGACTTGACCTATCAGGTCAAAAAACGCGTTCCAGGTCAAGTCCTAGACA